AGGAACCTCCATACTGCTTTCCACAATGGTTGAACTAATTTACATTCCCACCAGCAGTGTAGGAGTGTTCCTCTTTCTTCACAACCTCGCCAACATTTGTTGTTGTTTGTCTTTTGGATGGTGGCAATCCTGAGTCTTCTTAATAGCAGCAATTTCAACGTTGAAGAGACCCAATACATTATCTAGCTCTACTTTCAATTTTTAGATGAGAAAACAGATATAAAAAAGTTCCTTGCGTGAAATCACTTAGTTAGTTGAGAGAGTCGAGACTAAAGCAAGGTTTTCTACTTTAATTCTCTTTCATTTCCAATACTTATCAGTATTTAATTTCCTAGGCTTGCCTTCAGAAACCTATTGAGCACAAAGATCTGATTTCTATATTATGAGCAAGGTAACTACAAACAGATGTTTTTAAGCTGGAAATTGCTTGTATCTTATAAATCAGGATAATCTTTCAAAAATATTTAAGAAGCTTTGATGCTAATTTTGTTTTAAAAATAAAAAAGCTTTCCCTCAAAGACAGTTAACCATTTCTTTCATACCCTGCATAGCTTTATTAGCATTTGTAAAGATTAAATATTTTTTGATGTGAGATCATTAAGAGTGTGAAACCAATATGAACCAGTGGTTAACACCTTTTTTGCCTGTATATTTTTCATTATTTGCTTTGAATAACAGTGTCTTCCTTTAGGCTCTTAGCAACTCAGTCTAACTCTAATAAGCACAAAATGAATACTGGAGCACAAATGACAAAATTAAAAATAGATAAATTGGGCTTCATCAAATTGAGAAACCTTTGTTCTTCAAAGGATGCCATCAAAGAAGTATAAAGACAAACTACAAAATAGGAAAAATTTTTACAAATCATGTATCTATTGATAAGGTACTTGTATACAGAGTATATAAAGAACTCTTAAAACTCAGCAATAAACAGCAGAGTTTAAAAGGATTTGAATAGACATTTTTCCAGTGAAGGTATACAAATAGCCAGTCATCCCATGAAAATGTATTTAACATCATTAGACATTCAGGCAGTGCAAATCAAAACTACATAAGATACCACTTCACAGCAACTACAATGGCTATAATAAAAAGATGGTGCTATGTCAAGTATTGATGAAGATATGGTGAAATTAGAACCTTCTTAAATTGTTAAGAGATGTGTCAGATGATGGAACCACCCCACGGGGAGATGTGAAGGAGGAAATAGGGAGTGACTATTTATTAGTACATGGTTTCTTTTTGGAGTGATGAAAATATCCTAAAATTAGATTGTGATGATGGTTTTACAGTGAATATACTAAAAATACCAAGCTACTACATTTTAAGTGAGTGTATAGTATGGTATAAGAATTCTGTCTCTGTAAAGCTGTTTAAAAACCAGCAATAGATTTGAATGTTTAACTGGGAGGCAGAATAATGTGATGCAGAATAAAAGGCATGTTGGATAGGAATGATCAAAGAAATGGGAAGTATATAGTTCCTAGTATGCTTTGTAATCAAAGTAATTTTTATAATACCTTAGAGTACTGATTTTATAAACATGGTAGTCTTACCTCCCTAGGTATTGTAAACCTGCCCATTGCTTCTGATTTTGAGAAGCAACCCTTATCATTTTTCTCTTCTGCTGCTATGCTGTTGCTTGGCAAAATATGGCAATGTGGAAAAGGAAGCATGTAGAATTTAGTCTTACATCCTTTCACATTCTTACATGCCTCCCCCAGTCCAGTACTGCTTCAAACCCCTCCTTCTGATGACTCCACTCTCTTTTTATAGAACTCAAAATTTCTTTGCTTCTCTACTGATTTTCATTCCCCACCCCAGAATTTCCATTTCCTCAGTCGGTCCTTATTTAAAGTAAGTGGTTTTGTTAACATTAGTTTATAATAAGTTATACATCTCTAATATTTGCATTTTAAAAGATTATATAACAAGCCAGCAGACTTTTTCTATGAAGAGCCAGATGAAAATATTTTTGGTCTTGTAGGCTCAGGCCCTAAGTTTGTTGTTGCAGCTACTCAACCTTGCTATTGTAGGGTCAAAAGAGTCATAGACAAAATGTAAATGAATGGATGAAGCCTGATTTGACTCTAGGCAGGCCAGATCAAGCCATAGTTTGCCAACCATGTTACAGAATTCTTAATTCAAACACTCAGTTTTAAGACAAATTGGTAAAAAGAAATAGAAGCTAAATTGTTTATTGTTTAGTGATGAATTTAGGCAGTTATGTCCTCCACTTCTACCAGTAATGAAAGTGATTCATTTCTTTACTGTTTATCTATCTGAGGAACAGAGATTAGAGCCATGGCACTCTTAGAAATTTTCCAAGCCTTCTTTAAAAAGTACCAGACTTGACATAACCACTAAAGATTACACAAGGGTTGAGGTTATTAAGATTAGATCAATGTATGCATGTGTATAAATATAAACATTTGTGTATGGATACATACAAATTGTATATTGTGTTATATGTGTGTGTGTATATATAATTTTTAAATCGATTTACTATGGAATGCATTTGGATAGTGTCTTAAATATCCCGAACAAATTTATTGAATAGAAATGTAAAAGGTGTACATGAATTTAAAGTAAGCTAGGTAAAAATAAATACTGGACCATTTGGCCCTTGCTAAACTAAAGATGAATGAAGATCAATGCAGCTAGCGTCTCCTGCCACAGTATTCTCATTTAATTAAAGTATTTTACTTCAGTCTGATGTTTAGCTTTTTGAGAATATGATAATTATTCATTTATAAAATAAATGCAGTGCTGAAATGATGACAGCACTGCATCGTTTCAGATCCATGGCAATTCTGTTGTGAACCATAAAATTGTATTTCAACCAATATTTCCAAATAACAGTGATGAGAAAAATTTGCATTTGCCATATCAGTGTTTTACAAGTTGCTGGATAATACAGAATGACCATCATTCATTTAATGGGTTTCTTAAAAAATTAAAACATTATTAACTCTGGGGAGTTTGAGCCATTCAGGGAAGCAAAATGGCAATTATACCCCAAAATGTTTTTTTTCTTCTTGAAAATTACGTCATTGTACTTCATGATCAGATATTTTAAATGACCTTATAAAACAAATGTGTGTTTCACTTTCATGGAATTTTTGTTTTTCCAGGTCATGATTTGAATGTTTTTATCTCTGTTAAATTAGAGTTGACTAAGATAATAAATGAACTAATTAAACATTGCCCTTTCCCTCAGTAAAAATGATTACATTGCTTTCCTCTTTCTATACCTTCTTCCTCCTAGCTCCATTCTGATAGCATTCATTTAATTCTTTGAACAAGTAGTTGGGTAACTGTTATATGCCAGGCATTGTTTTAGGCACTGGGAACAAAACAGTGAATGGAACAACCTCTGCCTTTATAGAGTTTATATTTTAGAGTTGGGAGAAGGCAGTAAACAATTGTTTATTGTTTAGTATAAAAGTTACATAATATGTTAGAAGATAAGTACTGTGGACACAAGTAAACCAGGGTAAGGATGTTTTAATCTTTTATAGAGTAGTATTAATCTGTTATTTAATGTGAATATTGTCCTTGTATTTTCTCTTTCAATTTATAGTTCCAATGACAGGATTCACACAGAGAGCAACCATTGATCCAGAACTGAATGAAATACATGTCTTATCTGGACTCAGCAAAGACAAAGAAAAGAGGGAAGAAAATGTCAGAAATTCATTCTGGATTTATGATATCGTGAGGAATAGTTGGTAAGAAGCTCTTGCCTGTGCTGAAATCCCAGTGTAACAACTTATTTGAGGTTGTTGGTTTATTCAAAAGAAGAGACAAATAGAGGGCTTATGTTAATTTGTGATGTCATACATTTAAATATCAGTACAGGCCTGCCTCGTTGTGTCAGTTTTGCAGATACTATGTTCTTTACAAATGGAAGGTTTGTTGCGACCTTGCACTGAGCAAGTCTTTTGGGCCATTTTTCCAACAGCATTTGCTCACTTCACATCTTTATATCACATTTTGATAATTCTTTTCCTCCTAGCTCCATTCTGATAGCATTCATTTAATTCTTTGAACAAGTAGTTGGGTAACTGTTATATGCCAGGCATTGTTTTAGGCACTGGGAACAAAACAGTGAATGGAACAACCTCTGCCTTTATAGAGTTTATATTTTAGAGTTGGGAGAAGGCAGTAAACAATTGTTTATTGTTTAGTATAAAAGTTACATAATATGTTAGAAGATAAGTACTGTGGACACAAGTAAACCAGGGTAAGGATGTTTTAATCTTTTATAGAGTAGTATTAATCTGTTATTTAATGTGAATATTGTCCTTGTATTTTCTCTTTCAATTTATAGTTCCAATGACAGGATTCACACAGAGAGCAACCATTGATCCAGAACTGAATGAAATACATGTCTTATCTGGACTCAGCAAAGACAAAGAAAAGAGGGAAGAAAATGTCAGAAATTCATTCTGGATTTATGATATCGTGAGGAATAGTTGGTAAGAAGCTCTTGCCTGTGCTGAAATCCCAGTGTAACAACTTATTTGAGGTTGTTGGTTTATTCAAAAGAAGAGACAAATAGAGGGCTTATGTTAATTTGTGATGTCATACATTTAAATATCAGTACAGGCCTGCCTCGTTGTGTCAGTTTTGCAGATACTATGTTCTTTACAAATGGAAGGTTTGTTGCGACCTTGCACTGAGCAAGTCTTTTGGGCCATTTTTCCAACAGCATTTGCTCACTTCACATCTTTATATCACATTTTGATAATTCTTAGAATATTTCAAACTTTTTCATTATTATGTTTGTTATGGTAATCTGTGATCAGTGATCTTTGATGTACTACTGTAATTGTTTTGGGGCACCACAAACCACGAGTATATACAAAGGCAAGCTTACTCAGTGAATATGTGTTTGCTGCCCTACCTCCCAGGCCTCTCCCATCTCTTCCCCCCTCCTCGGCTTCCCTAGTCCTTGAGACAGAACAATGTTGAAGTTAGGCCAATTAATAACCCTGAAGTTCTCTAAATGTTCAACGAAAAGAGAAAGTCAGATGTCTCTTACTTTAAAACAAAAGCTAGAAAAGATTAAGCTTAGTCAAGAAGCCATTTCAAAAGCTGAAATAGGCCAGAAGCTCAGCCTCTTGCACCAAACAATTGGCCAAGTTGTAAATGCAAAGGAAAAGCTGTTGAAAGAAATTAAAAATACTACTCCAGTGAACACACACATAATAAAAAAGTGAAAACAGCCTTATTGCTGATATGGAGAAAGTTCTGGTGGTCTGGATAGAAGATCAAACCAGCCAGAACATTTCCTTAAGTGATAAAAGCCTAATACAGAGCAAGGCCTTTAACTCTTCAATTCTGGAAGGCTGAGAAAAGTGAAGAAGTTGCAGAAGAAAAGTTTCAAAAACGCTAGTAGAGGTTGGTTACTGAAGTTTAAGGAAAGAAGCTGTCTCCATAAAATGAAAATGCACAGTGAAGCAGTAAGTGCTGTGGTAGAAGATACATGAAGTTAGCTAGAAGAGCTAACAAAGAAAATTATTGAAGGTTTTAAGTGTAGTTCAACAACTGATCTTAATGTAAACAACAGCCTTCTATAAGAAGAAGATGCCATGTAGGACTTTCATAGCTAGAGAGAAGTTAATACCTGACTTCAAAGCTTCAGAAGACAAGCTAACTCTCTTGTTAGGGGCTAATGTAGCTGGTGACTTGAAGTTGAAGCTAATGTTTATTTACCATTCTATTCAGATTCTTTAAGACTTATGCTAAATCTACTCTGCCTGTGCTTTATAAATGGAATAACAAAGTTTAAATGACAGCGCATCTGTTTATAAATTGTTTACTGAATATTTTAAGCATACTGTTGAGACCTGATCAAAAAGAGATTCCTTTCCAAATACTATTTCTACTGCTTGTTAACAGTGCACCTGGTCACCCAAGAGTTACAAAACGGACATACAGTAAGATTAATGTTGTTTTCATTACTGCTAACAAAAACTACCATTCTGCAGCCCATGGATCAAGGAGTCATTCGAACTTTCCAGTCTTATTATTTAAGAAATACATTTTGTAAGGCTATAGCTGCCATTGATTCCTCTGGTGGATGTAGGCAAATTAAATAAAAGACCTTCTGGAAAGGATTCACTGTCTTAGATGCCTTTAAGAACACCATGATTCATGGGAAGAGGTCAAAATATCAAAATTAATAGAAGTTTGGAAGAAGTTGATTCCAATGCTCATGGATAACTTTGAGACATTCAAAACTTCAGTGGAGGAAGTAACTGCAGCTGTGATAGAAATAGCAAGAGAACTAGAATTAGAAGTGGAGCCTGAAGATGTGATGGAACTACTGCAATTTCACAATAAAACTGGAACAGATGAGGAGTTGATTCTTACAGGTGAGCAAAAAAAGTGGCTTCTTGAGTTTAAATCTACCCTGGTTCTGAAGATGCTATGAAGATTGTTGAAATGACAACAAAGGATGTAGAATGTTATATAAACTTAATAAAGCAGCAGCAGAGTTTGGGAGGATAGTTTCCAGTTTTGAAAGAAGTTCTACTGTTGGTAAAATGCTATCAAGCTACACTGATTGCTACAGAGAAATGGTTCATGAAAGGAAGAATCAGTCAATGTGGCAAACTTCATTGTTGTCTTATTTTAAGAAATTTCAACAGCTGCCCAGCCTTCAGCAATTACCACCCTGTTCAGTCAGTAGCCATCAACATCAAGGGTTAGGGTTACTACTCACTAAAGCTCAGATGATGATGATAATAAACTTAGCATTGTTTAGCAATAAAGTATTTTTTTAATTAAGGTATATACATTGGTTTTTTAGACATAATGCTATCCCACACTTAACAGACTATATAGTATATTGTAAACTTAACTTTTATATGCTCCAGTAAAACAGAAAATTAATTTGACTCACTTTTATTGAGACACTCACTAAATTGCTATAGTCTGAAACCTAACCCATAATATCCCTGAGGCATGGAAAAAAACCAGTATCAGTGTCTGCATATATAATGACATTCAGTGAATGGATTTTGCCTTGAATTGTTCAATTGTAGGTAATTCCTGGTCTGGGAGTCAAGAGAATTATATTTTAATCCAGGCTTTGCTACCAAGTAGGTATGTGAATTTTGAGAGCAGTGTTAGATGCCTTTAAGAACACCATGATTCATGGGAAGAGGTCAAAATATCAAAATTAATAGAAGTTTGGAAGAAGTTGATTCCAATGCTCATGGATAACTTTGAGACATTCAAAACTTCAGTGGAGGAAGTAACTGCAGCTGTGATAGAAATAGCAAGAGAACTAGAATTAGAAGTGGAGCCTGAAGATGTGATGGAACTACTGCAATTTCACAATAAAACTGGAACAGATGAGGAGTTGATTCTTACAGGTGAGCAAAAAAAGTGGCTTCTTGAGTTTAAATCTACCCTGGTTCTGAAGATGCTATGAAGATTGTTGAAATGACAACAAAGGATGTAGAATGTTATATAAACTTAATAAAGCAGCAGCAGAGTTTGGGAGGATAGTTTCCAGTTTTGAAAGAAGTTCTACTGTTGGTAAAATGCTATCAAGCTACACTGATTGCTACAGAGAAATGGTTCATGAAAGGAAGAATCAGTCAATGTGGCAAACTTCATTGTTGTCTTATTTTAAGAAATTTCAACAGCTGCCCAGCCTTCAGCAATTACCACCCTGTTCAGTCAGTAGCCATCAACATCAAGGGTTAGGGTTACTACTCACTAAAGCTCAGATGATGATGATAATAAACTTAGCATTGTTTAGCAATAAAGTATTTTTTTAATTAAGGTATATACATTGGTTTTTTAGACATAATGCTATCCCACACTTAACAGACTATATAGTATATTGTAAACTTAACTTTTATATGCTCCAGTAAAACAGAAAATTAATTTGACTCACTTTTATTGAGACACTCACTAAATTGCTATAGTCTGAAACCTAACCCATAATATCCCTGAGGCATGGAAAAAAAACAGTATCAGTGTCTGCATATATAATGACATTCAGTGAATGGATTTTGCCTTGAATTGTTCAATTGTAGGTAATTCCTGGTCTGGGAGTCAAGAGAATTATATTTTAATCCAGGCTTTGCTACCAAGTAGGTATGTGAATTTTGAGAGCAGTGTTTTTTCTAATGTTCTCATGTCTTAATTTTTACAGAATGAAGTGGTTTGACTAGAGCAGGGTGAGGGGCATATTGTTTCGCATTTTCAAACCAGGAACTTTTTGTCACAGAGCATCTCACAGAACTGGTGCAGCATGTTTCGTGTTGGAAAACACTGGCCTTGGAGATACAGCTCTAACATTCTGTGATTTATGCATAAGTGAATATTTTACAGAACAGAGGCACTTGAGAGATCTTCCATTAAGTGATGGAGTATGGTACTCTCAGCAACTAAGGAATTTATTATTTTCTAAATAGGACTTATATTTACAATTGAAAGCAATCTACTGTGAGTTTTTATTGTGAGCAGATGTGGTATGTACTGTTTGTGTTTCATAACATGAGGTAGGTTGTCCTTAAGTAAGGTTTATGTTGGACATTAAAAGAACTTCGGTATTCAGTTCTAACATACTCAGTTTATTTTGTGAGTGACCAAGACATTTAGATTTTATATCAACAAATTTATAATTTTTTTGTTGTTAATTAGACATCCAGTCAGTATGCTTGCTCCAGTTGTATTACCATATGCTGCTGATTTTATAGGATGGAGTGCCTTAAAAAGCAATGTCTTGCAGGTCTTGTGTCTATAAGAATGATCAAGCTGCAAAGGATAATCCAAGTAAAAGTCTTCAGGAGGAAGAACCATGTCCAAGATTTGCTCATCAGCTTGTATATGATGAGTTACACAAGGTATCCTAACTACACTGACCTGTAAACTTTCCATGACCTACAGCCAAAAAGAATCCCAGAATATATCTGTTTTTGATTATTTTTAAGTGGATTTGAATAAAAAGTTATAATACATAGTAGACAGTCAATAGAATATGTAGCAGACATTCAATATCATTTCCCCCTAAAATTCCTTAAGAGAATAAACATTTTTTCATAGTCCATAATTCTTGGCACTTTTCCTCTTTGGTTCTTAGCTGCATAGATCAGATACATTGTATGGCCTGTTGTTTCTACAATATCAATATCCAAGTAAAAGATGTACAGTTTTCAGCATTTGGCTACCTTGTCCCATGATATGGAAAAGGTATATATAACTTTCTGGTTTAGATTTTCCCTTGCATAACAAGTGTTTTTATCTTTTATTTTTCCTATCTGTGAGTGACATATCTTCTCCATTGGCCTTGTGAAAACAGTCTTGTGTCCTGAAGTCTTAATGTCACTAAGTGTTCATAGTCATTTCTTTATTTCTCCCTTAAACTTTAAATGTAGTTTAGTGATTAGGCTCATATTATTTAGAAAGTTACTGACAGAACCTGCAGTCTTTCTTTTTAGGCCATATATGATGATTTAAATTCTATGTCATTTGAGACCTTTAGGTAAAAAACACCATGGGAGTGAATAAAACCCTTTGTCTTAAAGAGTCCCCCAAATGAAAGAGAAATGAATTTCCATAATTTATAGGATAGAAATAATATTGCCATCTTGTAAAACTATTGAATATAAATGTTTGCAGAATTTCAGGAAATGCTTTAACATCTTGTGTAAGAATAGAATACCACTAAAACTATAATTAATAGTGAAATCATACTGCATTCCTTTTATATTTCTTTTTGATATTGAATAATAGAATAATATTTTTAAAGTTATTTCGCAAATTATATGTGCCATTTAATATTTGGCATTAAGGCTTAAAGAAAAATTCAGATGCCAAAATTTAAAATTTCTAGTCACTATTGACCTTCAGTGATTGAACATGTGTATCCAGAGATTTTTTTTTCAAGATATTATTTGTTGTTATGATCAACACTTGATTAACTTTATAATCCCCATTGTTGCTGTGAGTAAATTCTGTATCTTAGTTTCTTACTTTCATTGCTTTTGTTTCATGTCTTCCATTGTCAGTATAATTGTGGTAATAAACTCATTTTAGTATAAAATATAATTCAAGGAAGAAGCCATAGTATTTTAAAATGGAAACTTGAGGAAAATCAAAAGAAGCCTTTGGTAGAAATGCAGTAGTATTTTAATTTTTTATGAGTAAGGTTAAGGAAGTTATATGTTTCACACTACTACCAAAATGAAGAAGTTTCATTGTGAGCTTTATAGTTTTTTGAGTATGCATACATTTCTTAAAATCAGGTTTGTTTTGTTTATTATAGGTTCATTATCTTTTTGGTGGGAATCCAGGAAAATCTTGCTCTCCAAAGATGAGATTAGATGACTTCTGGTCACTGAAGTTGTGTAGGCCTTCAAAAGATTACTTACTGAGGCATTGCAAGTACCTCATAAGAAAACACAGGTATAAAAATAAATCAATGAAAACTTATTTAACATCAGCTTGTTGGTATTTACCTAAGCTTTGGAGATGTGACTTTGTCTTTGGAAATTTAGTTACATGACAATATAAATACTATGAAGATCATGGCTTTTGTAAATGTCCTGTTATTTTCCTTTTTTTTTTTTTGCTCTCTCAAAGGAAGGTACAAAATGAAGATGGATATTGATGGTAAAAACTTCCAAATATAGAACAATGACATTTTAATTTAAAAAAATTTTATTAAGGTATAATTGATATTCACACTTACATAGGT